CCTCCCCAACCCATGTGTACCCCCAGCCGTTCTAAGGACGTAGTGGAGCCTCTGCTGCGGCCACAGTGGTATGTGCGCTGTGGGGAAATGGCCCAGGCTGCCAGTGCTGCTGTGACACGGGGCGACCTCCGCATCCTGCCTGAGGCCCATCAACGGACATGGCATGCCTGGATGGACAACATCCGGTGTGTAGGGCCCCTCGGTGTGGGGAGGGTGGCTGGGTGTGGGGCTGAGTGGGTCACAGGCCAGAGCACTTCCAGGACCTCCCTGATCCCATGCCCCCCCCATGTCCCCATTCACAGGGACTGGTGCATTTCCCGGCAGCTGTGGTGGGGCCATCGCATCCCAGCCTACTTCATCACCATCAATGACCCAGCAGTACCCCCTGGGGAGGTGAGGACGTGGGTCAGAGCTGGATACTGGGACATCTGGGGAAGCTATGGGTCTGTTAGGTCCTTGGTGGGGGGCAGGGGTCAGGGCAAGGCAGAGGAGTCCCCTTGGGTACTCACTCTACCTGTGGCAGGACCCTGACGGACGGTACTGGGTGAGTGGACGCAACGAGGCGGAGGCCCGGGAGAAGGCGGCCAAGGAGTTTGGAGTGTCCCCTGACAAGATTGGTCTCCAGCAAGGCAAGACAGGGCCTGAGGGTTGAGGGGCAGAGCGGGGATTCTAATCCTCTCCTCTATCCCCTCTGACCTCTGACCTTTGGCCTCCTCCAGATGAGGACGTATTGGATACCTGGTTCTCCTCTGGCCTCTTCCCCTTCTCCATCTTGGGCTGGCCCAACCAGGTCTGTCCCTGGGGCCAGGCCAAGGTTGGGTGGGGGTCTTGGGGGTGGGCACTTGGCTCCCTTTCACACCCAGGTCTGTCCCCAGTCAGAAGACATGAGTGTGTTCTACCCGGGGACGCTGCTGGAGACAGGCCATGACATCCTCTTCTTCTGGGTGGCCCGGATGGTCATGCTTGGCTTGAAGCTCACTGGCAGGCTGCCCTTCAGAGAGGTGTGAACATGGCCGAGACCCTCCCACAGCCCCACCCTCCCCACTTGCCCTCCACAGCAGCTCAGGCTCAGCATGGCTGGGGGCACAGGGCAGAGCTGTGGCTAGCTGTGGGCAGGCCTGGCCCGGGCTGGTGGGGCTGAAACACGGCCTGGGCTCCACTCAGTGGTTCCTGTGCCCTAGGCCAGGGTTTTCTTTGTTTTCACAGAGGAGGGAGTGCTTCTACTTCACATACAGGTGCTGAATGAGCTGGTGGGGTTACTCAGTGGAACCTGAGGTTCAGAGAGGGGCAGACCAGAAGCAGGGCTCTGGTGAAGGCATTGAGGCCGGGGGAGGAGGGCACTGAGCCTCATAGGCCTCCCTGCACCTGCCCTGCAGGTCTACCTCCATGCCATCGTGCGAGATGCTCACGGCCGGAAGATGAGCAAGTCTCTAGGCAATGTCATTGACCCCCTGGACGTCATCCATGGAGTCTCCCTGCAGGTAGAGCTAGGTGCTGGGCCCGTGGGCCTCCCCACAGCTATGGGGCTGTGGCTTTCACCACCTGACCACTCCCACCTCCACTCTCAGGGCCTCCATGACCAGTTACTGAACAGCAACCTGGATCCCAGCGAGGTGGAGAAGGCTAAAGAAGGGCAGGTATGGAGGTAGAGCCCTGGGCAGAGCCTGAGCAGAGGTGGGCAGGGCTGGCTGAGGATGCCCCTCCCTCTGCCTCCTCCTGTAGAAAGCGGACTTCCCGGCAGGGATTCCAGAGTGTGGCACCGATGCTCTCCGGTTTGGACTATGCGCCTACACGTCACAGGGTATGGCCCCTAAAACCTCCCTCTCAGCCACCTCCCTCCTTCTGTGAGGCCCACCCCACTCATCTACCCTGGGCCTCTGGTGGGCATGGGCTGGCAGGAAAAATGGTGAGGACTCCCACTTCACCCCTACCCAGGTCGTGACATCAATCTGGATGTAAATCGGATATTGGGTTACCGCCACTTCTGCAATAAGCTCTGGAACGCCACCAAGTTTGCCCTCCGTGGCCTTGGGAAAGGTTTCATGCCATCACCCACCTCCCAGGTGAGGGCCCAGTGGGTGGAGAGGTTGGCAACACCCATGCCCCTCAGGCACAAACACAGTCCATGTTGTGCCAGGACTGTAGCCATGGAGTCTGGAGGCCTAGCTCCTGCCACTGAGGGGCCTCCACATAGCTTGGGGGAGAGATAGACACAGAGACAGTTACAAGGAAAGCCCAGGGCACTGGGGTCCCTCGAGGTGGCTGGGGCCTGTTCCTTCTCCTCCAGATACTGGGCACATGCTTGGTTGCTTTGGGCCCCATCAGGCTCCTTTAATGCACATTTGTCCCTGATTCCTGCCCTGTGAGGTTCTGGCTCCCTCCCCCTGGGCATGTGGTGGCTCTGGCTGATACTTCCCCTCCCCCTAAGCCTGGAGGCCACGAGAGCCTGGTGGATCGCTGGATCCGCAGCCGGCTGGCTGAGGCTGTGAGGCTCAGCAACAACGGTTTCCAGGCCTACGATTTCCCAGCTGTCACCACTGCCCAGTACAGCTTCTGGCTCTATGAGCTCTGCGATGTCTACTTGGTGAGAAGGGGCTGGATGGGGCAGGGGACAGGGGCAGCAGAGTCTTGGGCCCAGCTTGGCCATTGGTTGACCATGAGACATGAGCCAACCCCTTCCCTTTCGCGTCCTCATAGGCGCAACAAGGGCTTGAGGCTAGACCTCCAGTCCTGATCCCTGTATCTCTGGAGTCCCCAGGAGTGCCTGAAACCTGTACTGAATGGGGTGGACCAGGTCGCAGCTGAGTGTGCCCACCAGACCCTCTACACCTGCCTGGATGTTGGCCTGCGGCTGCTCTCACCCTTCATGCCCTTTGTGACCGAGGAACTGTTCCAAAGGCTGCCCCGAAGGACGCCACAAGCTCCCCCTAGCCTCTGCATTACCCCCTACCCAGAGCCCTCAGAGGTATGGGGAATGGCCTGGAGGAGGGATCTGGCATGGTTCCCCCACTCACCCTCTCATCTGCCCCACAGTGCTCCTGGAAGGACCCTGAGGCAGAAGCCGCCATCGAGCTGGCACTAAGCATCACGCGAGCTGTGCGCTCCCTCCGTGCCGACTACAACCTCACCCGGATCCGGCCCGACTGTGAGCCTCAGGCCCCACATCCACCCTGTCCCACTCTGGGGATCCTGTGTCCAGCTGTGGCTGCCTGGTCTCCTGTCTCCTTGGGGCCAGGCCTCACCTTCATCCCTCCCTGGCAGGTTTCCTGGAAGTGGCTGACGAGGCCACAGGTGCCCTGGTGTCTGCAGTGTCGGGCTATGTGCAGGCGCTGGCCAGCACAGGTGTGGTGGCTGTCCTGGCCCTGGGGGCTCCCGTGCCACAGGGCTGTGCTGTGGCCCTGGCCTCTGACCGCTGCTCCGTCCACCTGCAGCTGCAGGGGCTGGTCGACCCGGCCCGGGAGCTGGGCAAGCTGCAGGCCAAGCGAGTTGAGGCGCAGCGGCAGGCCCAGCGTCTGCGGGAGCGCCGCGCTGCCTCGGGCTACTCTGTCAAGGTGCCCCTAGAAGTGCAGGAAGCAGATGAAGCCAAGGTGTGTGGTGTGGGTGGCATTTCCCATGTCATCAGCTCCCTCCATCCTCACAGCCCAGTCCTTACAGCCCAGTCCTGAGACTGGACTCTGCCCAGCCCTGGGCAATCCATGAAGGAGCACAGAGCCCACATCCCTAGAGCAGGGACCCTGTCATCCCCCCTTACACATGAGGAGCAACCAGGGGTAATATAGCCCAGGGCTATACACACAGCAGGTTGGAACCGAGGTAGACCTAGAACCAGGCACCCTGCCTTCCAGCCAGACCCCTTGTACCCTTCTCAGCTGTGCAGACATGGAAATCCACTTGCCTGGGGCTGGGCTGGGAACCGCACAGTCAGGGAGTCCCAGGCCTAGTCCTTCTAAGCCCACTGGAGTGACCTGGGAAAGCCAGGCTCATGTCCATACCCCCCACAGACCCCTTACCTCCTGGGCCCCTCCAGGGAGGAGCAGTGGGGTAAACTGCACAGATGCCTTGACTTCACTTAATTCTCCCAGTAGCCCTTGGAGGGCAGGCAGTATTACCATGGCCACCATACCCCCCACAGACCCCTTACCTCCTGGGCCCCTCCAGGGAGGAGCAGTGGGGTAAACTGCACAGATGCAGAGAAAACCAGTGATGGAGGCTAAGGGGTAGAGAGCCTTGACTTCACTTAATTCTCCCAGTAGCCCTTGGAGGGCAGGCAGTATTACCATGGCCACTTTACAGATGATGGTTGAGTGACTTGCCTCAGAGACTGCTCTTCTGCCCAGGTGGAGGCACTGGGCAGGCCACGTGGGCTCTGAGGCCCCTTTGCCCTCAGAAACTGACCACTCTGGGAAAAGGCAAGACCCACAAGGCTGGGCCATGGTGGAAGAGAGGGGGTGGGGAGGCTGGTGAGAATTAGAGGGAAACAGAGCCAGCCATGCACCCACACCCCTGAACTACTCCCCTTCTGTGGTTATCACCTGTCTTTCCAAGTTTGACCCCTCTGCCATCCTGGGTGTTTGGGGTCTCCTCTCTTGGGCCTGGGTCCTCACCACCCACCACCCCCTTGTTTCACCCCAGCTCCAACAGACAGAAGCAGAGCTCAGGAAGGTGGATGAGGCCATTGCCCTGTTTCAGAAGATGCTGTGATACACCCTACTCCAACCCTCATAACCCCCAGTGGTCCACCATGGGGAGGGCAGCAATAAAATATTTTGCCACAAACTATCTCTTGTCTGTGTGTGTGGTGGAGGTGGGGAGCGGGTGCAGAAGGGCTGAGCTCCCAGGTCCTCAGAGGCTGCTGGTATGAGCAATGGGTGGGCTGCAGGCTGGGGGTGAAGGAAGTACCGGCTCCTGGTGGGCAGAGGGGTGCGTCTGCCTGGGTCTGTCCCTGGCACTGCGCCAGGCCTGAGTCATGCTGCTCGCTCCCTTCCTCCTCCCCAGCTCTTCTCATTCACCTCCGCACTGCAGCCGAGGGAGGCCCGCCCTGTAGTGCCCTGGTACTGGCTGCTGCTTGTGGCCTTAGACAAGCATGAGTAGAGGGGCCAGGGGCTGCTTGTTCTGCCCATTCTGTGCTGGCATCTCCCTCCCCCTCCACTGAGTCCAGGTTAATTATAACTCTGACCACAGTGCCTTGTGACGCCACGCCCGGGCCAGCCCTGCCCAGGAGACCCAGCAACCAGGTAGGTGAGAGGCCTGAGAGGAGAGACTCAGACTTCCTGTGTGGGGGAGGTATGCCTGGGGCAGGGCTGGACACTTGGCCTGGAGCTGGAAGGGGGGCCCTGGAGGAAGAGCCTTGGACCCCTCTCCTGGCAGGTATATGTCCCCGTTGGGCTGATAAGGCCCTCAGGTTGTCTGAGTGACTGTGGGGGAGAGGATGGGGTAGCCAGGCTGGGGCAGATAAGGAACTCCGGGCGAAGCAAGGGCCCATGGAGACACACGGGTCTGCCCTGAAACTGGCTGCTGCTTCCTCCTCCCTTGAGAGTCTTCTGTCCCCCAGGTCCATGTCTCAGCCATGCTTCCCGCAGGGGTGCCCCTGTCCCACCTGGGCACCTCGGCACTGCTTCTGCTGCAGCTGCTGCTGCCATCCGCATCTGCCTTCTTCCCCAACGTCTGGAGCCTACTGGCCGCCCCTGGCTCCATCACCCATCAGGACCTGACCGAGGAGGCAGCACTCAATGTCACCCTGCAGCTCTTCCTGGAACAGCCACCCCTGCACCAGCCCCCACTTCGTCTTGAGGACTTCCTGGTGAGCATCCCTGGGTCCCATCACATCCCTGCCAGGTCCTCCAAATACCTAGACCTCAACTCCTTGAAGGCCCTGGTTGCCAAGAAAAGGAACACCCACCTCCCCACATGCTCACCTCTCCACCCACCCCTCCAGCAGCAATACCCTGTAGTCCTGGTCCCAAAACAGGAGTTCCCCTCCTTAGAAAGACCTAGGACTGCTTCTCCCCTGAAGGGCCTACCCTCAATTCCATCCATACCAGCCTGCATGCCCGTTGCTGAGATAATGTAGGCAGTGGTCCAATCCAAGGGGCTTCCCTGGAGTCCTTGTCCCCCATCACTTTCACCAGGGCCGAACCCTCCTTGCTGATGACCTGTTTGCTGCATACTTTGGACCTGGCTCTCCTTCACGGAGGTTCCGAGCAGCCTTAGGTGAGGTGTCTCGAGCCAACGCAGCCCAGGACTTCCTGCCGACGTCCAGGAATGACCCTGAGCTGCACTTTGATGCTGAGCGGCTGGGCCAGGGACGCACACGCCTGGTGGGGGCTCTGCGGGAGACTCTGGTAGCAGCCAAAGCCCTTGATCACACCCTGGCCCGCCAGCGCCTCGGGGCTGCACTTCATGCCTTGCAGGTGAGAACAGAGTTGGGGTAATGGTCAGCGGGATCTTCACTTCTAGTTTTCCTGTCTCAGATGGAGACTGTCCTTATGGTGCCTTCTTAATCATGCCTCCGCCTGCTCTAGAAGGAATGGGTGCTGCTTTCCAGTGCCCTGAGGCTATGTCCTCATTCCCCACCTCCACACTGGCAGTGCTTCCTGTGCGGACAGCAAGGAGGCCACTGTGGCTGAAGAGAGGTGAGGGTGAGACAGGAAGGTGGTAAGGTCAGAGAAGTGAGGGGAGCGGCCCATCCTGTAGGGCCTTGTAGACAGCTGAGAGGCCTTTGGCTTAGACCCTGAGTGAGATGGAAAGAAGCGCTGGGACAGTGCCCACCTGGCCAAAGCTCTGTTCTGGGCAATGGAGAGAGAGCAGTGGAGGGGACTTGGGGTGTCTGACAGGAGCATTAGGGGTGGGAGGAGGAGACTTTCTGGGGGGGGGACTTAAAAGAGTAGCACGTTAGGGCTGAGATCATGAGGAAAACAGACTAGTGCCTCATTTCCCTTCTGCTCCTGTCCCCCGGGACCAGGATTTCTACAGTCACAGCAACTGGGTGGAACTAGGGGAACAGCAGCCACACCCTCACCTCCTCTGGCCAAGGCAGGAGCTCCGGAGCCTGGCACAAGGTATGGCCATGAACCCAGTGGTAAGGCCCATGGACCCACCTACTCAGTCCACCCAGCCACTGTGTCACATCCTGAGGTCACATAGGATGTGACATTGCTTCATCACTTCAAGGACTATGAGGTTCCCCAGTCCAATCAAAGACCAGGTCAGTTAAGTGGCTTCCCCAAGGTCACACAGGGTAGAATAGCCAGGACCAGGTCTCCAGACTTCAGTCTAGTCTTTCCTGTGGCTTCCTCCCCTGCTGGCTCACATGGGGCCTTCCCTCATGGTCCAGTCATCTTCTAAACTAAACTATGACCTGGAAGCTGCCTCCTGTCCACTACTGGTTCACTTCCTGTCCATAGTTCACAGAAGGCATGACGCCCTAGGATTGGTCCCCACACTTCCCAGGTTTTCTAGCAAAGTCCCAGTCTCAAATATTCAGTCTCACTGCCAGCCCATGAACTCTAGGTTTCAGTTCAGAAAACCCAGCTGGGAGGAAAAGCTGAAGTATGGATGGACAGGGATAAAGGCCAGCGGTGGCAATGTTGGGTTTTAGCCCCTGCCCTCTCTTTCCAGTGGGTGATCCTACCTGCTCCAATTGTGAAGAGTTGAGCTGCCCCAGGAATTTGTTGGGCTTCACACTCCTCACCTCTGGCTACTTTGGCACTCATCCCCCCAAACCTCCAGGTACCTCCAGGACAGGAAAGCTCCCAGAAGTAAAGGGGAGAAAATCACTTCCTTTGATCATGTATAGGATCTCAGTTCTGTAGGCCCTTGGTATCTTACTGAAGGAGAGGATGTTGGGATGGGGTGGGGGGGAGTGACGGCCCACCAAGGAGGCCGTGATTGTTGGGGTGGGGAGCAGCTTCTTGCTTGGCTGACAGGATTTCTCTGTTGCTGTGGGCAGCTTTGGGGGACTGACAGGAGAGATCAGAGGATCCACCATGTGCTGTGGTGACTGGCCCCTCCAGATTTACTCTAGATTTGTCCTCCACAAAGTGTCATCATTTCCTGCCGATCCTTTGCTGAGGGGTGAGACAGTAACGCAAGATCAGAAAGGGCCTCATTTTGTTAGGAGGCATGTACCTCAACTCTGGAGGTTTTTGACCTCCACTCTCCAGATCCCTTTCCTCAATCCAGGGAAATGTAGCCACGGGGGCCATTTTGACCGGAGCAGCTCCCAGCTACCCCGGGGTGGCATCAACAAGGATAGCACATCCCCAGGCTTCTCCCCCCACCACATGCTGCACCGCCAGGCTGCAAAACTGGCACTTCTAGCCTCCATCCAGGCCTTCAGCCTCCTGCGAAGCCGCCTGGGAGACAGGGTTTTCTCAAGGTGAGTGGCCTCCTGGAAATAGGCCTTTTGATGTGCGCTCTTGGGGGAGCTGAAAAACCAGGGGCTGGGGACAAATGTACGGACCCTCCACTGTGTCTCTGGCCTGCTCCCCAGGCTGCTGGACATCACTCCAGCCACCAGCCTGAGCTTTGTCCTCGACACCACGGGCAGTATGGGTGAGGAGATCAACGCTGCCAAAATACAGGCTCGCCACATTGTGGAGCAACGGCGGGGCAGCCCCATGGAGCCTGTCCACTACATCCTGGTGCCCTTTCATGACCCAGGTAACTGTGGTCTATGCAGAGTAGTAGAGGGAAGGAGAGTCCAGGGCTGGGGTAAAGGTCTCTGGTGAGGAAGTGGGCTTCATGGCTCCACTTCCTTAACAAAATGGTGGTACTTCCTGTGGTCCTGAGTGGGCCTCTACTGGATACTTGTGTGCATATAGAAAACAAGCAGCTACTTCTTTCACTGTCTCCAAAACGGCAGCACTTGAGTTTAATGAGTTTCCATGAATTTAATGCTTGATCCTTGCTTAGGCATATGGCCTCTGCTTTCCTTACTTAGGCTGGTCATTTAATCTCTCTTTGCCTCGGTTTCATCATCCATAAAATGGGTCAGTACCTGCCTTATCCTGCCTAACTTCCAGGGTTGAAATGATGATCAAATAAAATGCCCATTGGACTGAGAATTCCCTAAAGGTAGGATTTTTTTTTTTTGGCACCTGACTGGTACAGGGATCTGAATCCTAGAACTTGGTGTTACAACACCACACTCTAACTGAGCTAACCAGACAGCCCCTTAAAGGTAGGGTTTGAAACTGATTTGTCTGCATAAATCTTATAGCGGCTGTCATTTAATAGGGACTTATTTTATTACGTGTTTGATGAAGGTATGAATAAATGAATAATTAAGAATTTGGGCTGGCTGGTTAGCTCAGTTGGGTAGAGAGTGGTGTTGATAACACCAAGGTCCAGGTTTCAATCCTTGTACTGGCCAGCCACCAAAAAATAAAATAAATAAAAATAATTTAGAACTTATTATGTGCCAAGGCACTATTCTAAGATTTACAAAATTAACTCATTTAATCCTTCCAGTAAGCCTCTGTTGGTTAAGTACTATTATTTTCTCTCTCTTTTCTGATGAGGAAACTGAGGTCCCAGTTGTTTTTCTTCTTTTTTTTTTTTTTTTAAAAGATGACCGGTAAGGGGATCTTAACCCTTGACTTGGTGTTGTCAGCACCACGCTCAGCCAGTGAGCAACCGGCCATCCCTATATGGGATCCGAACCCGGGGCCTAGGTGTTGTCAGCACCACACTCTACTGAGTGAGCCACGGGCCGGCCCCCAGTTGTTTTTCATACATGAACATATGCCCAATAAAGGCCCACTCAGGCCCACAGGAAGTGCCACCATTTTGTTAAGGGATGAAGGCCCACTGTCCCACCAGGGGCACCTAGCCCAGCCCTACCCAGCCCTACCCCATGACGAATATAGGGAGCCATATAAGGGGATAGCATATAGCAATAAGGGAATATTGTTTTTTAATACTTTGTCCCCCCAGGAACACAGTGGGCCTCTCCACTGGGGAGGTGGCCTTGGGTAGGAATAAGGGGAGCTCTTTCCTCATTCATCTCAACCTCATTTCCCCCTCCCCAGGGTTTGGCCCTGTCTTTACAACCAGTGACCCTGATAGCTTCTGGCAACAACTCAATGAGATCCATGCCTTGGGCGGTGGAGATGAGCCTGAGATGTGCCTGTCAGCCCTGGAGGTCTGTCCCTTTCTTTCCCCTTCCCATCTTATTACCCCCTTTCCAGGACCCACCACCAGGGGGAGCTAGACCGTTCCTGGCACCTCCCCTCTCCCTACTCCATCCCACCCACCTTCAGAGCTTCATTCCAGGGTTCCAGGGCCATATTGCCTTCTACCCTCTGCTCCCTGGCTCTACCCATTCCCCTGCTGCTGCCACTTTTCTAAAGCCAGTCAGATTCAGCAGTGTGGGGTTGTTGTTGGCATTTTTAACACCAGCCCTTTCCCTCCCTTTCAGCTGGCCCTGCTGCATACACCTCCACTCTCAGACATCTTTGTCTTCACTGATGCCTCCCCCAAGGATGCCTTTCTCACCAACCGGGTGGAATCCCTGACTCAGGAACGGCGCTGCAGGGTGAGCATAGCTGGTAGGAGACCCAGTATTAGTCACTCAGGGCTGTGAGAGATCCTGTGGCAACTCATAACAAGGTTCGTACCATACTATGGTAGTTCCTCCAGCCTTGGGGTGGGGTGGGAGAACCAGACAATGAATGTGACATTTCCTGATACCTTTAACAATACTCAAGAGTGGGAGGCCTTACCCTTAATGGTGCTGAATTCCTATTTGAACCTGCCCAATAAACCATCTGAAGAACTAGGGATCTAGTTGCCAAAAATCCACTGTGAAATATGGTGACAGTTACAAGGGGGTGGCTGACTACTAACTGAAAGCCAAGGGGTTATGTCATTGGGATACCATGCCCTAGCAGCCAGAGGGTAGACAGAGAGACCTTACCACTAATCATCAAGTCTGGACAAAGCTTGAGCACAGGGGTCTTCATTTACAATAGTAGATGGCACTTGGACACCTCAAACACTGGGCTCTCTTCTGGCCACAGGTAACATTCCTGGTGACTGAAGACCCATCAAGGGTTCAGGGCCGAGCTCGACGTGAGGTGTTGTCCCCTCTGCGTTTTGAGCCCTACAAAGCAGTGGCACTGGCCTCAGGAGGAGAGGTGATCTTCACTAAAGACCAGCACATTCGTGACGTGGCAGCCATTGTTGGGGAGAGCATGGCTGCCCTGGTGAGTAAGTGGGGGCCAGAGGGGCTGGTGCTCTCAGTTCAGAGCTGAAGGGTGGTGACACTGCATCTCTCTTTTCACTGGAGGAAGTGGAATGGCTACCATTACTATGTTGCCATTCTAGTCACTAGGGTGGGAAAGGAAGTTTCCTTCCTTCTGTGATCCATGGCTACTAGCCCACCTTCCACATTGCCTTTCCATATCAGTAAACCCCTCCCCAAACCTGGCCTCCAGTATTCTGCCCTCAGGGCTACCACAGGAAGTTCTGCTATCTTTTAAGAGGGGGACCAGAAGTGATCGCTTCAACCTCATCCCGTGCCTCCAACTTTTGACAATAATAACTTCATGCCTGGTCCTGTACCCCTCTCTCACTGGTATCCCTTCTCCGTGTGACTTGGTTTTTATACGCCTGTCTTTCTCCTATCTTTGCTCCCACCTCCTTCCATGCCTTATATTCGCCCCCATTTTTTGGTCCTGCCCATCCCCCAAGGTGACTCTTCCCCTGGAACCTCCTGTTGTGGTGCCTGGGAGGCCACTTGTGTTCAGTGTGGATAGGCTGCTCCAGAAGGTCACAGTCCGGATCCATGGGGAGATCAGCAGTTTCTGGATCAAGAACCCTGCAGGTACCTCCGTGTGCATCTCAAGGCAGAGGGAAGAATTGAGACTGGAGATTGGAGAATGAGGGGGATGTACTGACGGGGATGTACTAAGGGGAAGAAATTGTTTCACATGACAATTGCTTGCCCCCACCCCAGGGGTCTCCCAGGGCCAGGAGGAAGGCATGGGTCCTCTAGGTCACACTCAGTGCTTTGGGCAGTTCTGGATGGTGACCATGAGTGACCCCCCTGAGACAGGGACGTGGGAGATCCAGGTCACAGCTGAGGGCACCCCCCAGGTGAGAGTGCAAGGTAAGGAGAAAGATATTCCTGGAAAGGGAAAGGGGAGACTGCAGGCCTCAGGGAGCAACTGTCATGTTCCTCTCGGGAAGGTCTCTGACTGCCTTCACCCTCCCCAGCCCAAACCTCCCTGGACTTCCTCTTCCACTTTGGGATCCCCATGGAGGATGGACCCCACCCTGGCCTGTACCCACTGACTCAGCCAGTTGCAGGTACATCTATTCCCTGACACCCCCCCCCCAGTTAATTAGTTATATAGATAGATAGATAGATAGATGTATAGATGTATATGTGTATACATAGATATGTATAGATATGTATAACTTTTTTGTCTTTTTTACTGACCGGTAACGGGATCACAACCCTCGGTGTTGCGCCCGCACCACGCTCAGCCAGTGAGCGGGAACCGGTCTCCACCTGGGATCCGAACCCTCGGTGGGAGTGCCGCCACGCTCCCAAGCGGCGCACTCTCCAGTGCGCCACTGGGCGGGCCCGATATTTATAACTTTTTTAGTTATAATTTACATATAGTAAAGTACACTAAACTTAAGTGTGTAGCCTGATGGCTTTTTTATAATACAACCGTGTAACCATCACCCAGTTCAAGATACAGAACATTTTCTTTTCTTTTTTTTTTTTTTTTTAAAGATGACCGGTAAGGGGATCTTAACCCTTGACTTGGTGTTGTCAGCACCACGCTCAGCCAGTGAGCAAACCGGCCATCCCTATATAGGATCCGAACCCGTGACCGGTAAGGGGATCTTAACCCTTGACTTGGTGTTGTCAGCACCACACTCAGCCAGCGAGCCAACCGGCCATCCCTATATGGGATCCGAACCCGGGGCCTTGGTGCTATCAGCACCGCACTCCCGAGTGAGCCACGGGCCGGCCCAAGATATAGAACATTTTCAGTACCCCAGAACTTTCTCCTGGTACTCCCCATCAATACTACTCCAGGGATAATCCTTTTTCTCCATCCGTACTCCCCAGAGGTAACCCCTATTCTGAAGCCATTCATTCTTTTCTCCCTGTGTCTCTGAATCTCACACAGACCACTGTTTTCCCCTCCCTTCCCCTGTCCTAGGTCTCCAGACCCAGCTGCTCGTAGAAGTGACAGGGCTGGGCTCCAGAAGCAACCCTGGGGATTCCCGGCCTCATTTCTCCCACATCGTCCTTCGAGGGGTCCCAGAGGGTGCAGAACTGGGCCAGGTGCCCTTGGAGCCCATGGGACCCCCAGAGCGTGGTCTCCTCATGGCCTCACTACCACCCGCACTGCTGTCCACTCCTGGACCCTTGTCCCTGGAGCTGATTGGCCAGGATGGAGGGGGGCAGGGCCTGCACAGGGTGGCCCCCCAGCCTTGCACTGTGGTCCCCGTCCTTCTGGAGGTGAGGTGCAAGGGGAAGGTGCAGCTGGGGCTAAAGACGCTAGAACAGCTCCTCCCCTGACTGGCCCTTCTCCACAGCTCAGTGGCCCCCAGGATTTCTTGACCCCAGGCAGCAAGGCCCCACTCAGCCTCCGCATCTCCAGCTTCTTAGCCCCTCAGGATCTTGACCTTAGGACATCCATCAACCCCAGCTTCGCCATCACTTCCAACCTCTCCAGGTGAGTCTGCTGAACCCTCCTGCTCCCTTTTAGCCCCAGGCTGTTTACCCCAAGTCTCACCCCTGGCCCCTTTGATTGGCCCTTGGCAGGGAGTCCTCACCTCCCCTGCTCTGCACTTGGCCCAGTCCATTAGCTGTAGGCTGCTGAGAGCCTGGGACTTCAGCTGGATATTTGTATCCCCTCTCTAGGGCTTGCCTGGGACTGAATGAGTCAGCCTGGGGGCGCCTGTGGCTGGAGATCCCAGACTCAGCAGCCCCAAACTCGGTGGTGATGGTGACTGTGACTGCAGTGGGTCGAGAAGCCAGCCCAGTGCCCCCAACCCATGCTTTCCTCCGGCTCCTAGTGCTGGCCCCGGCCCCTCAGGTGAGACACTTTCCATTGCAGGGTAGGCAGGGAAAGGGGAGGGTGGCATAGGCTTAATTTGGGTACAGCTCTAGCATACCCTGACATTCTCTCCCTCTTCTCCCCAGGACCACCTCTCTGCCCCTGCCCACTCACCTGGCCCTGTCATCACCACGGCCACCCCTGTCTTTCATCCCTCCACTTTGGTGACTCAGGGCAGGGCTGGGAGAGGGATGGCAGGCAACACCTGTTGGGGAACAACTGGAGGAGTGCTACTTCTGCTAGGCCTGGCCTCCTGGTGATACAACAGTCCCTAGAAGGATGGGTCTCCAGCACTATTTCAATCTGCCCCATTGGTGAGAAGGTCTCATGGGCCTTGGGACCTCACCTGTTCCAGCTGGGATGGAGGTTTCCCTTCTTATGCACTTGTCCCTTCTCTTTCTTAAAAACTGCGAGATTGGGATAAAGGGCAATGGATTTTCCCTGAATGCTCTTTCCCTAACCCTTACGGGAACTAAAACAAAGACATTTTTGGAAAAAGTTGCTTTCTATTTCTCTGTAGCATCTTTATTCCACTATTTGTCCTCTCCCAGGTTCGGGTAGAGAGGAAGATCTATAGTTGAGTAGAGTAGGATTGGGAATGACTATTCGTCCTCTCCCAGGTTCGGGTAGAGAGGAAGATCTATAGTTGAGTAGAGTAGGATTGGGAATGGGGTAGGAGAATACCAGGAAGTGTTATTTATAGAACTGTTTTTATTTTAAATTCTGGAGCAGCTTCTATTTTATTTTTGTACTTAAAGCTGAAAGACAGTTTCAATAAACATGTCTTCTCCCCCAAAGGGATTTCAAAGAAAGATTATTTTTGCACATCATATGGGGGAGAGAAAGGGCATGAGACACCAAGAAGATGAAATGGAAGTTTTCAGGAGCATAGGAGAAACCTTACACCAAGATGATGAACGTCATTGACCCACTACCTGGAGCCATGTAGCTGCTGGGTTAAGAAGCAGAATAGGGAGGCTGAGTGTTCTGACTCAGCCTCGTCCTTCACCAGAATGAGGGGAGTGAGAGGAGAGTTTAGACACGGGTAGGGCCCCTCTGCCCCATGGGGCAGCCCTGCTGAGTCATCTCCCCATCTGGCTGGATGACTCTTTTCTGCTGCCTTGACAACTCCTGGAGAAGAGGAGAGCAGACTGGGTGTCTGTGCTCCTCCCTATCCTGTGGAGCAAAGGTTTCTGCCCTCCCCCAGCAGCCCTACACTTTACCTGTTGCTGCCACCAGTCCTGTTTCCTTGGCCTTTCCTTCCAATCCTGGGTGGTGCAGGAACTAGCCTTGTTCCATGGACATGGAGAGAACTGGGGGGAGAGTCACTGTGTTTTCTGTTAAACCAGTGCTGACCCCAACAACTCCCCTCTCTAGCCCCAGTTCCCAGAAGTCTAAACTAAAAACAATAAACTCACCTTCCCCTGAATCAGATTCTGCAAACAGATGTTCACCTTTTGAATCTGGGCTAACTGGGGGCCACCGGGCTCTGAGTATGTATCTGTTAGAAAATTCTAAAGGAGGAGTTGGAGGCTGACATCATGGTGAAAACTTGAGGTCCATCTGCCACTCTTCTGTCACCACAGGCCATTCGTCTCCTCATCTGGATCCCCTCATCCCAATACCCTTCAAGGCAGGTGGAAAAATCCAATACTCTCCACCTCCATCTCTTTAACATTCCAGTTCCTCCATCCCTCTCAAAGAGCACAATACCCCCCCTCCCTGTTCTTTATGGATCCGCCCTGTCCATCCCTGTACCATTGGAATAATCCACACCACTCCCCCATCTGCATGGAGTGATCCAAATCAAGTACCTCTGAATGGAATGCAGACCAGCCTCCTCCCGCCCCAACAACGAACACCAGCCTAACACTTGGTGGCATCCTGTCATTATAATGCTGCCTCCAATTCACAATCCCTGCCCATTAACTCTCCCCTTTCCAGAATGGCCTCAGGCTGTGTCCACATCTTCCTTGCTCCTCCCTCCCCCACCCCATTCACACAGAGGGGCAGCCCCCTACCTCACCAAGGGCCCCCAGATGCAGCTGCTGTCGCTGTGCCTCCCTCAGGCGGTCTTCAAACCAGGCCTGGCCACGCTCTAGCAGCTCCAGTCCCTGCCACAGGGCATCCTGTTCTCTCTCCAGAGCCTGCATCCTCTGCAACTGGAAAAGGCAATAAGCAGAGACTGACTCTTGCGCTGCAGCAGGGCTCTGGCCCATGCCCCTTTCTCTCAACCTTTAGTTGGGTTCAGTGTGTGGTCACTGAGTGTGACTGGCCACTGAGGACCTGGAGGATAGCGGGGAGCAGGGGAGTGGACTTGTGGGTCCTCAAAGTTGAGTGGAAATATAAAGAGCAGATCTAGGGGGAGGGAATCCCCCTGGGAGCTCCTGTTGGGCTAATACTCACCCAAAGGAAGAAGCTCTGCGCTCCTGGGTCTTGGCGGCTTGTTCCCAGTGGCAGCAGCAGAACCGTGTAGGGAGCCTGTACCTGGGGCTGCCTTCCAGGACCCTGGCTCCCCATGGCTCTGAAGTGGGAGGGGTGGAGCCACTCCCACTGGTGCAGCCAGGCTGGTCCCTCCCCCTCCATCCCTGCCTTATACTCATCCTGCCTTGTCTTTCAGCCTCTCAGGACCTTCCTAATATGCCTGCCTGAGGCTGGGGTATTCCTACTTAAAGGGAGAGGCCATCTCCCTTGGGCTCCTCTGTCTTCTCTCTAAACTGTTTTTGCAGGGTCTTTCTTTTTTTTGTTGTCCTTTTTGAGACCGGCCGCACCACGCTGGTCATCCCAGCTGTGAGCGAACTGGTCATCCCTATATAGGATCCGAACCCACGGCGGGAGAGCTGCTGCGCTCCCAGCACCGCACTCTCCCGAGTGCGCCACAGGCTTGGCCCGCAGGGTCTTTCTTTTTTTTTTTTTTTCCCCCCCCCCCCCGCAGGGTCTTTCTGAAGTAGTTTGTTCTTATGAAGTCCCCTTGGATAGAATCCAA